AGGGAAGGGAAAGACAAGGAAGGGAAGGCAAAAGGGGGAAGGCAAGGGCGAAGGGAAGGCGATTTGAGAGAAGAAGGGGAAAATAAGAGAGGAGAGAGAAGGGAAGAATGTTGCAATGGCTTTCCTCCGTTTTCCTTGCAGCGCCGTCGACCTGGGATCGCTCCAGCGGTGCTCGAGCTCCTGGTGTGGAATTCTATGTTTGAACAGATTGCCAACAAGGGAACTAACGCAAGGAAGGCAAGAAAACCGCACGGAATATGCGAAGGGCCTTTTTCGCTTTTAACTGCTTCGTTCAGGGCATACACTACAGTATTTGTATATATAACTCCTCTATGTACCTCTTGCTTAGTGTATTGCCCTGACGACAGCTAATTAAGCGATCAAGGCCTTTCGGCAATATTCGTTGTGTGTTTCTTGCCCCTATCCTTCGGCTTGTTCCTATGCAGTTTCGAGCTGCCTGTATGTGTTCTTTGTCAGTGCGGCTGGTCCATTTTGTGGTCGCTGTCATTTTTTTTGTCATTTGATATGTCACCGATTGGTCATTACCATTACCATTAGTATTATCATTCATAATCTTTATTTTTTTTTCATTTGTTTTCTTTTATTTTAATCATGATCATTATCAATATTATCATTAATTTAATTGTTATTATCAATATTATCATTATCATTTTAATTGTTATCATCAATAACGTTATCATTAGCATTGTTATTTATAATATCTAATAATGTTCACATAGCTATTATAACCACCATCATCATCATTATCATCTTAATATTCTTTCCGCTTATTGTTACTACTGTTAACGATAACAATAACAATACAACAAAGAAAACCATAATATTGATAAAGATAGTGACAAAAAACAACAGCAATAAGGGTTGTAGCAGGAAATATTTGTTCGAATTTCTGCCCAAGTCTGTTTTGTGACTTTGTGGAAACGGCCTTTGATCGGGATTGGCCGCCAATATTTGCGATTCCTTAGGAATGTTTTGACGTATGATTTGCCTTTTATGTTTTATGGAATCTAAAGACACGCTGTTTATATTATCCATTATTGTTATTATTTTATATTGTTATTATTACTATTATTATTATCATTATTGTTATTATTGTTATTATTATAATTATCATAATCATTATTATTGTTGTTTTTATTATTATTATTATATTTATTATTCATTCATAATTCATTATTATTATTATATATCAATTAATATTAATAATCATTATTATTATTATACTAACCATTATTATCATTATCATAATCATTGTTATTATCATATTATTATTATCATAATCATTTTTATTATTATGATTATGATTATTATATTGTGTATTACCAATTATTATAGTATTTATAACTACCATATTATTATTACCAATATTATTTATATACCATTATTTATTACCATTATTTATTACCATATTATTATCGATTACCAATTAATTATTATTCATTATTTATTATTACAATTAATTTCATTACCATTATTATTATCATTACCATTATTATTATCAATACCATTATTATTATTACTATTGTTATGATTATTATTGTTGTTATTATTATTATCTTATTATTATTATTATTATTTTATTATCTTAGAAACTGAAATTCATTATTCAAGTGTATATTCTTCCTTCATATTCATTCTCCATTCATTGAATTTTCGGGAATTATTTTCCTAATGTTGGATTGTTATCATTGGCATCATCATAGGTCATTCAGAAACCATTAGCAAGAACCAATAAAATCAGTTGAGAGGGAGAGGGAGAGGAGAGGGAGAGAGGGAGAGGGAGAGGAGAGGGAGAGGGGAGAGGAGAGGAGAGGGAAGGGAGAGGGAGAGAGAGGAGATGAGGAGATGAGAGAGATCAGAGGAGAGAGAGAGAGAGAAGAGAGAGAGAGAGAGAGAGAGAGAGAGAGAGAGAGAGAGAGAGAGAGAGAGAGAGAGAAAGTGAGAAATAGACAGACGGATATATATAGACAGATAGATAGAAAGAGCGCCCTTTCCTGCAGGCCTCGCTCACGCCTCTCTTGCCCCCCCCCCCCCCCCCCCCGCCTCGCCGGGCCCTCTCTGGTCCCCTCCGTCGGCGCCTCCTCCAGGGTGACTCATCTCCTGAAGAGGCCGACGGCGAGGCAGGAGGAGGGATTTCCGACTTCCCGAGCGGCGAGAAAGAGGAATTTAGGAAGGAGAAGGAGATTAGAGGAAGGGAGGGAGAGGAAGTGATGGGAGGGGGGGGGTGTAGAGGTAAACAAATGGTGGTGTAGACAGGGCTTGCTAACATGGAACGCACACACACACACACACACACACGACACACACACACACACACACACACACACACACACACGCACACACGCACACACACACACGACAACACACACAACACACACACACACACACACACACGACACACACACACACACACACACACACACACACACACACACACACACACACACACACGACACACACACACTCAACACACACGCATACACATCCACACATGCATACACATATACATGCACTCAATCAGACAGACAACACAGACAGGACCTGACAAATATCTAAAACATTCACACTCAAAACATCAAGGAAACTGACAAATACGTAGAAGATGAAACTATGCAAAATATGTATGGAGAGAGAGAAAGACACAGAGAGAGAGATATAGATAAAGAGAAATAGAGAAATAAAGAGAAAGAGAGAGATAAAGAGAAAGAGAAAGAGAAGAGATAAAGAGAAAGAGAGAGAGAGATAAAGAAAGAGAGAGAGATAAAGAGAAAGAGAGAGAAAAAGAGAGAAAGAAAGAGAGATAAAGAGAAAGAAAGAGAGAGAGAGAGAGAGAAAAGCGAGAGCGAGTACCGCATACCAATCGATAGAAGAGGGAAAATAGAGAAAGGAAATTGCGTGTGCTTGTGAGTGCGTGCGTGTGCTTATTTCCTCGTGTTTCCGTTTGTCTGCGTGTTTATTTGATTGTATATGTGGAAGGGGGGAGGGGGGGGATCTCCTGGATGCCTTGGTTAATAATTTCTAGAGCAATACAAACCAGAAAATTTTAGAATTATCAAACTAGAGCAACACAAACTAGAAAATCCAAAATCATTAGACAGATATCCAAATCAGCCAGCAAGAAGTGCCATTTTATCAGCAATATCTTAACAGTGAGAATAACGTCAAATAACAAAGCATTTTCTCTTGACAAAAGCATTATTTTTTTGGTTTGTTTGTTAATGAGAATCTATTTACAATATATGCAATATCTAGTTACGCCATACTCCAGTGCAATGGTCGAGTTAATTATAATTTCAAAAAAGTCCATCAGCAATGCAAAAATGACCAGGTAGGGTTATCAAAAGTCCATTAGCACTCTGGGCTATTTTTCACTTCTGAAATGAAAAAGGTAATAAATAAATAGATAAATAGATAAAAGATAAAAAGAGAAATGAAAATCAACAAACTGAATGGTTCATTGAACTCCAACTTAGTGAGTTCTTAATCTATTTATACATCTGTTTTTATTTTCATATTCTTGTAAATGTTTGCCAGTATTGATTCATTTTATGTGTGTTTAAATTCAACTATTCTTACTTCCATATTCAAATTTGTGTTTGTATCTATCTTTTTTCCATTTATTTAGCGGGTCTGATGGAACCAAATTTCAGCTAAATTTATTTCTGACGAAGAAATCAGGAAATTGAGAAATAAGGATCAGTGTTTATTTCGTAACTTGTCCTTGCGCCAAAAGAGACCAAAACAGCGCCAAAAAATATTCGCTTTGTTAAGGTAATTTGGTTGCGAGTCTTCGCTGAAGCCGAGGGAACGGCGCTAGTTTTCTTCTGTTTCCTTCTCTTTCCCTTTCGCTCTTCTTCCCGTCTTATTCTCCTTCCCTTTCGCTCTTCTTCCCTTCTTATTCTCCTTCTCATCCTCCTTCCCTTTCGCTCTTCTTCCTTCTTATTCTCCTTCTCATCCTCCTTCCCTTTCGCTCTTCTTCCCGTCTTATTCTCCTTCTCATCCTCCTTCCCTTTCGCTCTTCTTCCTCTTATCTCATCCTCCTTCCCTTTCGCTCTCTTCCTTCTCCTTCTCCTCTTCTTCCCTTCTTTCTCCTTCTCCTCCTTCTCTCCCCTTCCCTTTCGCTCTTCTTCCTTCTTATTCTCCTTCTCATCCTCCTTCCCTTTCCTCTCTTCCTTCTTCTCCTTCTCATCCTCCTTCCCTTCGCTCTTCTTCCTTCTCATTCTCCTTCTCATCCTCCTTCCCTTTCGCTCTTTCTTCCTTCTCATTCTCCTTCTCATCCTCCTTCCCTTTCGCTGCTCTTCCCTTCTCCTTCTCCTTCTCCTTCTCCTCTTCCTTCCCGTCTCCTTCTCCTTCCTTTCGCTCTTCTTCCCTTCTTATTCTCCTTCTCATCCTCCTTCTTTCGCTGCTCTTCCCTTCTCATTCTCATTCTCTTTCCTTCCCTTCTCTTCTCCTTCTCCTTCTCCTCCTCTTTCGCTCTTCTTCCCTTCTCATTCTCCTCCTCATTTATTTTCCCTCCATTTATTGTCCTCCTCTTCCTCCTTTCATTTTTTCTGTTTCATGCTCCTTCTCCCCCCCTTCTTTCGTTGTTTTCTCCTTTATTCTTTTTCTGCTCCTCTTCCTATCATTTTTATTTCTCCTTTCAATCACTTTCTCCATCTCCTCTTTCATCCTCCTCCTCCACCTCCATCTTTCATTCTCCTACTCCTCCATCTCCATCTTTCATTCTCCTACTCCTGGGTACTGAAAAAAAAACCCGGCAACAAACAAACAAAGAAGAATTTTGGAAAAAAACGAACAATAGGCAAATGGAAGAAAGTGAAATGCAGAAAATGAAAAATGGCGCCAAAGGGATAAAAGATCCGCAGCGAATAGGAAAGAGGAGAGAGACGGGGAAATGAGGACGGATGGGGGGCAGAGAGAGAGAGAGAGAGGAGAGAGGAGAGAGGGAAGGAGAGAGGAGAGAGGGAGAGAGGAGAGAGAGAAGGAGAGAGGGAAAGAGAGAGAGGAGAGAGAAAAGGAGAGAGGAGAGAGGAGAGAGAGAAGGAGAGAGGGAAAGAGAGCGACACACGCACAGGCAAACACACACACACGCACACGCACACACACACACACACACACACACACACACACACACACACACACACACACACCACACACACACACACACACACACACACACACACACACACACACACACACACACACACACACACACACACTCACACACACACACACACACACACTCACACTCACACACACACACAGGCACACGCACACGCACACGCACACGCACACGCACACGCACACACACACACACACGAAGCAAGGGAAGAGGAGAGATGGAAAGACAAAGCG